TTAGTTTTGATTCTATTTAGTATGTTACGAATCAGTCTGTGCACACATAACCAACACTCACATATTGGAAGAGTTCTGGATTCCCTCTTCCTCTGAAATGTATACTGCATCACACGCCACTAAAAACAGACTCTCTAAAACCAGGAGAAAGATATTAATCACAAATAAAGTACACAATGACTTCATTTTTGTTTTCTTAATTAGAAAATAAATGCATCACCTTCATTTTTTTGTTCTTCTTCATCAAATGATCTGCAAACAATGAGAAACAAGAACACAGTAAATTGCACAAGTAAATTTTACAGGTGGTTACAATTTCATGTGAGAGTATTCAGATCTATGATGCGCCTAAAGTAGAGATGGCACCACTTTTTCTGTTCCGGCACTGATACCAATATTAAAACCTCCAGTATGGATATTGGTCAAATATTCTTTCATTAAAGCTATGTAAGTTTTAAGGATTTGGAGACATCTCTAGTGGAAATTACTGTGTGCAATGAATGGAGGAACTTTCTGTAATGTTGGCTGTGCTTCTGATGATTAGATGATTGCGAACGTGTTGAAAGAGTATTCAAAGAGAACTTGTGTCTTCTGAGAATGTAAGTGAATTATCTATTATTTTCATCATATCTTCATCAGTATAACACTGATTTTGCATCTGCAATCTGACCTGACGCCTCTGACTTTTAAACAATTATTTGAATTATTTTTGACTTTAAAATTATTTTTTCAGTCTTTACAGAGTGACTCACAGAAGCACACAAGTACCATATTTTGGTGTGTTTTTTTCTGACTCAGTAATGTTACTTCTTTCAATTTTGACAAAAAAATCTTAGGGTATGCTTCCACTTGCACTTTTTCTTGCTGCATTCTGTTGCTCCAGTTCCCTCCTTGCTGTTTTTATTTCGGAAATGAAGGAACCATATCGAACAGGATAGTTTCCAAATTGTTTTAACGTAACACACATATCTGTTTTGTGCGTTGTTCAGTGTGAATTGGTAGGACTAAACTGCTGCAGGCTGAATAGATGGATACATGCAAATGTGATGATTTGTGACATCAGAAAGATAGTGAATTGATAATAGTCTGTTTTTGCAGCTTAGTTTGCATATATGGACTGTATGGACTCCTGTGTGAATGGTATGTTTTGAAATGTATTTGAAATAAATATTACATCTTATTTTAAAAAAGGTCAGGAAAATGAACTTTTTCATGATATGGGCCCTTTAAAATATGCTGTATTTAATTGAAGCTATTTACATAAGATAATCATATAAAAGTAATTACAGGATTGGATCGCATTCATTCTTTTTCCCTCTGAGATCTGATTCAGCATTTTCTGCTGATAACGGCCTGATACCAATACCTGGTATTAGACTAGTGCCATCTCTAATATAAGGTTTCACTTTTAGGCCTACATAGGTCCTTAAACCCTACCTGAGCTGCTGGATGTTGTCAGACAGTGGTTCTAATGGCAGATCTCTGTCTGGACAAAGACAGTGATTTTTTTAACTTCATTTTAACAATCAGTAAGAGCATTGGGCAAACAAGGACACACAGCGTTATTGGTACGAAACACCACTCTTGTAAAGCACCACAAACTTTAATGGTGCAACTTGTGGAGAATCTTCAGCCTGATATAAATGAGGGAATTACAAGCCATGTTCATGAGAAGCACCGACACATGACCAGAGCATTTTCTCATTGTTTATGGATACATTGTTCATATACTAGAATAATTATAAATATTATTTAAAGTATGTACAATATTTGATGGTGTGTACTTAAGTGACCAAATCTCAAGATAAATTCTTAATACATGCAAATGTGCACTAATAGGTAGGGCTGGCCCGATCAGCATTTTACAGGCTTTAAATACTCGTTGATATTTCCAAATGAGTACTCAATCTTTCTTAAAATCACTCAAAAAAATCAAAAGTCATCTGATAAAACAGATCCGCTTCCATTTTAATCAGCGTTTCATTAAATACTGACTGCATAAGACATTTTTTCCACATGCGTGCAAGTGAAGTGTAAACTCTTTAGAGATCCAATCAAACCACACACTTTCACTTTCTATGGCGTTGTAAACCCAATTCCAAAAAATTGGGACAGCGGGAAAATGTACAGAAAAACAGAAAGCAATGATTTGCAAATCTTTTTTGAACTGTATTGAATTGAAAAACAGCACAAAGATATGATTGTAATGTCAAAACTAATTAACATTATTGTTTTCTGTATATACACCACTTATTCTAAATTTGATGAGAATTGTAAATTTTGTGCTGAGCATTTTTCTTAAATATTTAAAGTGCTCCCACACTTTCGGAGGCATCTTTACTTTTATGACCACATGGAAAGCAGTGCAGTTTGTTGCACTTTTGAGGTGAGCTTATGTGGATGTATGCTTTATGTCCAGATGTTTACAGATACCCAACATTTCTTCTGAAATCAAAGGTATTAATAGGGAATTTGTTTTATGTTGGTGCAGTAAAAGCCTCTACCTGGGAAGGCTTTACACTAGATGTTGGAACATTTCTGTGAGGTTTTGACTGCTTTCAGCAATGATTAGAGATTAGTGATGATTAATTCAAGATCACATTCAGGATCACTCCAACTCATCCCAAAGATACTGGATGGAGTTCCTTCACTCCAGAGAATGCAGTTCCACTGCTCTACAGCCCAGTGCTGGGGGGGCTTCATAGTATTCTAACCGATATTTGGCACTGGACATGATGACCTTAGGCTCATGTGTGGCTGCCATTCTATTGGCTGTGCTTTCTGTGGAGATAATATGGGCTGTGTATGCAATATAACACCCAAGTGAACACCTGTGTCAGGAACAGGTGCATCTCACAGTAGTTCACTAAGTACAAAGAATGTCTGAATACCTTTGTAAAGGGAGGAATTTGTGCCAGATTGTAAAGCAGTCACTACAGTGGAAAAACATGAAATGCAACGCACACATAACTTTTTTTTCCATAGTGGCATGCAGAATGTGTGCCAAAATGAAAAACAAAACATCTGTTACATTGTTTTAACTTCGCTTGACCTCTTTACTGAAAAACAAGAGATTTTGCCATTTAAAAAAATGAAATGCTGAATTAATGTCAGAATTGAAGACAATCTGCCTCGAAATGTAATGAAGGCACGACTACACTGCTTTCCACTGTGCAGCACTTAACGTTAAATCAATGTAATGGACCTTTTACTTTTCATTTTGGAACGTTTTCCACATGTTACTATTTATTTGCAATCTCGTATGCATTGTATTTCACTGTTTTGGTTGCATTTTAATGAGACAAATACATTTTAAGTACAAAAAGGATGTTAAAACAGTGTAATGGAGGCTTTTTTTCATTTGACTTGTACACTGCATGTCACAATGATGCAGTAATGTCAGGTGTGCATTGCATTTCAAGTTTTTTCCACTGTAGTAAAAGTAACTGGCATGAATTCATCTTCATACTTTTGGACATACGGTGCATGTGGAGGACCTAATTGGAGCCCATAAAGTGACCAGTGAGTGGAAACACAAGGCATGTATAAAATGCCTAATAAAATGGACGGTGAGTGTGTACGAATGAACCTGATCCTTACCAACAACGGGTGAGACAACAGGAGATTCGCAATTCTCTTCCCAAAAGCTAAGCCTGTCCAAAACATCAGTCTGCTCCTCCCTCTCCTCCTCTGCGGGGTCCCGCACCTTCCAGCAGGTAAAGCTGCGCTCCGCTCGCTCCATGGCAGGCGACTTGCGAAGGCCATGAAAACGCCAACAGCCGGAGCTGATCTGCCCCAAAGCGAAAAAGAAAACATTCTCCTCAGCATTCCCTCGTCTAGTTTTTCAAGATTTAAATACACAACGCTTGGTTCCACAGAAGTCCGTTTCCGCCAGGTAAGAGAAACAAACCTGGAAATATCCCCCGCTTCTGTTTCTGACTGCAGGATGCCAAAATGTCGACCTAGTATGTCTAAAAAACAATTCACTTTCACTTAATGGCGTATTTTCACTGTCTTGTTTCTTATTGCCTTGAACGTCTGAGATTTTACGTCGAAATTCAGACACAATAGGTCTAAATAATAAAACATTAACGGTACTGTTATGTCAGCTAACGTTAGCTAAGCTAAGCTAGGTGAAATCTGAACGCTGCGTTAGCAGTTCGGCTAACCGTCTAACGCTCACAGCCTCTGAGGGAACAGTTTAAAGTTTAAAGAGTGAATGAAAAATAAGTGACTGACTAGCTAAACTATTTTCTACCTGTTCTAACTAACCATCTGTTCTTTTTTTGTTAATAAATATAGTTAATTTTATATTATCATACCTGCTCTTGGCTATTCAGCAGCAGCTCAACTGAAGAGCCCGCGCGATTTCTGTGACGTAGTTAGCAGTTATATATGTAGTTTTTAATTATTGTGTTAAAAATATTATTTTATTACAAATATTTAATAATAAATAATACTTTTCTAATTAATAATGTAATAATATAATTGTTTAGACTTTTAAATTAGTGATTCATTAAAAAATATAGTTTATTGTTTTATTTATTATTTTGTTTATCCACTTTTTAATGGGAAAATCCGAATTAATGGTGCACTATAATAATAATAACAACAACAACAACAATAATAATAATAATAATAATAGTAATTTTTATGTATATAGCACTTTTCATGCCGGTGGCAGCTCAAAGTGCTTTACAGACAGGTGATAAAACATGGTTATACAAGAAATCATTAGTATTTATTTACTTATTTGTTTATTATAGTAAACTTATACAACAAGTAATAAGAGTAGTAGTTAGGAAATCACAAATGTGTTGGAGAAATAAACTCAGCTAGTTTATATATTTATATATATTTATATTTGTCAATATATAAATTAACATTGTTGCTGAATAGGCACTTTTAATGAGAACAGTTAACACCTTGTCCAGACTCTTGCAGTTTCTTATTTGTCTCATGACATGTATTTGCCTCATCATCCACTTCTAGTTAGAGACACCCACTGACGACACAAATCCAGCCATTCTTCTTGTCGCTCCCTTCTTGTTACCATTCCACTGTCAAGGGTGCTGACAATAGCTGCGCATCTCTCAGCTCATATCTGGCAGTTGGATCACAGACAGGTAAGAATGAATTTTTTTTTATAGCATAAACTTCTAAAACCATTAATAGGACCAGAATAGGTATATGTCACCACTGCACTCTACAGAACCAAGGGAATTAATCAAGAACTCAGGGGGTAACCAAGCCCATATATGTTGACTCTACTCTCTTTGAATGGAAAAAGTGTGGCATAATTCATTTAAATTCATACAGTTATTTATTTTTTTAGTGCGCTTTATGCAAAAAGTCAGTCTACTGTTGTGTAATTCATACAAAATCATTACAATTCTGCTCTTTTAACTTACCAAATGTTGCGGTTCAGTGTCATTTAAATAGCATTCTAAGAGTCCTGAGTGTCATTGTCCAATGTTTTGTAAAATATATCATATTTCAGCTCTCATTTTTCTCATTTTTCAGTGCTAATAAAGTAGACTCCCACGCTAATGTGGAGTTTTACACAACACCTTTCATAAGCAAAACATAACACCTCAGCACACATGTAATGTGGCCTCTACACTGGTCAAACAGGTGTGACAGCACTGAGCGCTGATAGAATAGGGCGCAGTCAATCAGCCTGGATTGGTTTGGTGCCCAAAGTTTGCTTCTTTGGAAGCTATAAGACAATTATAGCTAAGAAGTAATGTAGCCTTATAACCACTGCTGGGTAATTTACCACAGCATGACCAAGATAAAAACTTAAAAATGTATAAAAAACACCCATTCTTGATATCTGTTATGTGATAGACCCCAAAATGAAAAAGACTAGACCACTCATTGAATTTCAAAAGACGAACAGACTATAAAATTTAAAGAAATGTTTGCAGGAGTACAGGAACATAATAAGGAAACATAAATAAAATAATGGAGAAAAATGATCTTGGTGGGTTAACACGTCCCCACAAACACACACAACCTCACATGCTAAGGCTTAACTAAGGCAAAAGCAAGCTGAAACTCTAAGAGTCTCGAGAGAGAGTGAGTGTGCTGAGGGGAATGGTGTCTTCCCCATCTAAAAAAGACTTTGTCAAAGCAGTTATAGCTGTATGCTAATTTCATAGAAATTAGACAGCCTGCAAATACAATGGCTGATTCTTCATTATAAATCAAACTATCATAATGCAGACTTGGGTTGGTTCAGAAATATAACTGAACATGGTGTCACTGGTTAGGTTTTAACTTACTACATGTTGCTGTTCTGTGTCATGTAAATAGCATTCTAAGAGCCCTAATACATATATCGCTGTTGTCGGAAGAAAACCTTGTATCTCCAAAGTGGTAACTTTACAGGAGAAGGAAAAAACCTACTTTACTTTTAATGTAAGTCAGTGGAACCAGACATTTTTCCAAGTAATTTTGGGTCAGTTCTTTTAGTCGATTCATCATGAAATTTAGAAACAATGTAAAGGACAACAGGCAATTTTAAATTATGTCAAAAACTCAAAAACATAAAAAATGGAGATACAAGGTTTCCTTCCAACAACAATGAAATATATATATATATATATATATATATGTATATATATATGCACACATATCCCAAATGGTCACTTTCTACCCAGTTCCAACTCCTGTACCAGAGGCCACTGTGATGTCTGGTAGGATAGACTGGAGATGGGCATAAACACGTCCTAATCTCATGTTACAGCGTCCTTTTCAAGGAACATATCACAAGCCTCACAGACAAAGGGAAGCCAAAGAACTATGTGCCTCATTCACCAACCGTTCTTAAGAAGAAATTTCTACTCAGAACCCATTTATGCAGTTTTCATGAAGATTCAGACATTCACCAGTGTTTTCTTATTTGTAATTTGTTCTTAAATAAGAACAGAATTTAAACACACTCAACAGTACAAATGTTTATTTTTTTAGTGTGCTTTATCCATGTGCAACAATTCTGTGGTTTAAAACACGTCACATATACTAATTTGTATACTTAATAAATACACACACACATTATCTAAACTGCTTATCTTTCTGGGTTGTGGGGGTGCTGGAGCCTATCCCAACGGTCATTGGGCAGAAGGCAGGAAATACCCTGGACAGGTCACCAGTCCATCATAGGGCAGTAATTCATAAATAGTTAAAGAATAATTAATTTAAATAATTTTAAATACAACCCCATTTCCAAAAAAGTTGGGACGCTGTGCAGAATGTAAATAAAAATAGAATGCAATGATGTGCAAATCATGTAAACCATACTTTTAAAGGAAAATACAACAAAGACAACATATCAGATGTTGAAACTGAGAAAGTTTATTGTTTTTTGACAAATATATGCCCCTTTTGAATTTGATTCCAATAACTTGTTCCAAAAAAAGTTGGGACGGGGGCGTGTTTACCACTGTGCTTCATCACCTCTTCTTTTAACAACACTGTTTGGGAACTGAGGAAACACTGCTGTGGTTTTGAAAGTGCAATTTTTTTCACATTCTTGTTTGATACAGGATTTCAGCTGCTCATCAGTTCGGGGTCTCCTTTGTCATATTTTTCATTTCATAATGCACCAAATGTTTTCAGTGGTGACAGGTCTGGACTGTAGGCAGGCCAGTTTAGCGCCCGGACTCTTTTAATATGGAGCAATACTGTTGTAATACATGCGGAATGGGGTTTGACATTGTCTTTCTGAAATAATCAAGGCCTTTCTTTGTCTTTAAACTTTAAAACTTTGTCTTTAATGGATTTCTGTGAAGCTGCTTTGTGACAACATCAGTTGTAAAAAGCGCTATACAAATAAATTTGATTTGATTTGAATTTGACTTTCCTGAAAAAGACATCGTCTGGATGGCAGCATATGTTGCCAAAACATGTATATATCGTTCAGCATTAAATGGTGCCTTCACAGATGTGCAGGTCATCCATGCCATCTGCACTAATGCACCCCATACCATCATGAATACTGGCTTTTGAACTGTGCAGTGATAACAAGCTGAGTGGTCTTTAGCCTGGAGAAGACAGTGCCCATGATTTCCAAAAAGAATTTCAAATGTTGATTCGTCGGACCACAGGACACTTTTTCCACTTCACCTCAGTCCATTTTAAATGAGCTCAGGCCCAGAGAAGGTGGCAGCATTTCTGGATCCTGTTTATGTACAGTTTTTTCTTTGCATTTTAGAGTTTTAACTTGCATTTGTGGATGCAGCGACAAACTGTTTTCACAAACAGTGGTTTTCAGAAGTGTTTCTGAGTCCATGCAGTGATTTCCACAATTCAGAATCATGTCTGTTTTTAATGCAGTGCCACCTGAGGACCCAGAGATCACGGCCAGTAAATACTGGTTTTAGGCCTTGTCCCTTACATGCAGAGATTTCTCCAGATTCTCTGAATCTTTTAATGTTATTATGTAGATGACGAAAAGCAAAACCTTATTCTTGAATTGTTGCACTATTTGATCGTGCAGTCTTTCACAGAGTGGTGATCCCCTTCTCATCTTAACTTCTAAAAGACTCAGCCTCTCTGAGATGCTCTTGTTATACCCAATCATGTTACTGACCTGTTGCCAGTTAACCACCAGGTGTTTTTTTAGCATTACACAACTTTACCAGCCTTTTGTTGCCCCCATGCCAACTTTTTTGAATGTGTTTTTGACATAAAATCCAAAATGGGCAAATATTTTTCAAAAAACAATACAATTTCTCAGTTTTGATATTTGATATGTTGTCTTTGTACTATTTTCAGTTAAATATAGGGTTTAAATGTTTTGCACATCATTGCATTTTGTTTTTATTTACATTTTGTACATGTAAATATGGACTTGATATATTGTTTTGAACAATAACAAGGGTCAGCAAAGCCCATTTGAAATGCATATTTGAGTGAAACAGTGTGAACAATGTGCGACTCATGACTCATGAATGATTATCTCCTTATCACCGATCTCTCTGCTCCAGACACAGTAGCCCTATTGCCATGATGAAGACTGCCATTGTGTTGGCATTAGCCCTAATGCTGACCACAGTGTCCTCTCAGACATTCCACTGGGGTTCCTGTCCCATCGTACCAGTACAGCTAGACTTTCAGCTGGCTGGGGTATGCATAACCTCTTTTGACCTTTATTTATTGAAATTTGTGCTACATGCGTATTCTAATACTTTACAGGTTTCACTGTACACTGTGTGGCATCAAAAAACGACACAAGAAGTTATAATAAAGTGAATATCCAGAAAGCCTCGTATTAACGAAATAAATTGATTGTAAATTGATAATTACAGTATGTTATTTGTCTTTCATTAACTTCTTTTTGGTCCCTAAATCCATAAAATATTGAATTAAACAACTAAACTATCTTTTGGTGTTTAATTATTACTGCATAGAAGATGTAGATATGAAAAATTTAAGATTATAAAATGTCTGAAAATATTTTATTTTTTACTATTAGTAATTACTGTTAAATCTAGGGGTCTCTGTCCCAGCACATCTTATCAGATCAAGTATAACCTCAGTCCAGTTCCGATCTTTGTTTTTGTTTTTGCGCTTTGGTCACTTTACTGTGATAGAGATAAATCATAAATGGACATTATCCACACCCTGCAGCAGTGAAGAATTCAGAAGGTAGCAAAGCGTCTTAATGTCGACAGTGTTGAAAATGAAAATGAAAACCTATAATATCTGCAGTACCTGTGTTTCTACTGTGTTTGAACTAGCTACCTTTTGTCTAAACATAGACACATCAAAATGTGAGCATGCGACTGTTCCAGTTTGTTTTCACGTGCTTGTTGTGCAAAACCATGTTGAAAATACATCCACCAACTTTTTTCACTTGTGAGTTGCAACTGGTTGAAAACGAAACGTTTAGAAATATTCTGCTTTACTGGCTGTGCTGTGTTCCTTCTGTTTTTAAACCAGCTTTAGCAGAAATATTCAGAACCGAGAGAAATGACCAGCTACTCCTTGTAGTAAATTCATGACACTATGAAGTGGTTATTTCACACAAGTAGTCCACAAAAAGGATGTGTGATGTCAGAGTGCACCACCATGCACATGTCAAAGCTACAGCTGCATGTTAAAATATCCGGAAGCCAAATCATCAGGGAGGGAAACTACACTGTAAAAATGAAAATCGGAGTGATTTCAGGAGGTGCAGCTGACTAAGCATTTGCCCCCATGAGGCAGGAGGTTATGAGTTTGAAACCCAGTGATGCCAGAGCTGTCCATAACTAGCAACTAAGAAAAAGGTTCCAGCTAGTGGAAAACATATGTTCTTTAATATTTACCTAACCGATATGCAGAACTAAAAACATGAGAGAACTTTTGACTGAACTAAGAAGTTTGAGTTGGGTGAACTCAAGTTGAGTTATCTCAAGAAAAGCAGTGTAATCAGTCACTTTATTATTTTAAGTCGAACTGACTTTCATTTTTAACAGTGTAGATCTTAAGTAAATATTACATACATCATAAAATGCTCATTTTAAAATAAAGGCCAAAAATCTAAATATATAAGTTCAGAATGTCACATTTTGCACATGGTAAGAATGAAGTAACTTTACCGTAATATTTATTCGCAGCATTTAGCTTAATTCTGCAGCTTAACTGTGAAACACATAGATTGGGTTAGACCAGGCTGCCTAAAGTGTGGCTAAGTTGGCCTGTCGGGATGTTTGGACATCATTGAATTTTGATACTACATATAACTTATTAAATTCATATTTGTCCTTATAAAATTCTAATTTGGATTAGACTGGATGACAGGTGGGTGAGGGGAGAACATAATTAGGGACATCCCTAATTCAAATTCTGAAATGATTCCTAAAAGAAACAACATTTTATAAAGTAAACAGCAAAACTAAAAACGCAGTGAGAAGACTGTGCAGGATTGTGTAATCTCACAGCATATATTCCTGCTTTTTCAACTGATTTTTAAATAAAAAGAAAATTTATATGTGCCATTTGTGTTTGCATGCACTATTATGTGGTTTAAACTTGTTTTTGCTTTGTTTAGGTCTTAAAAGGGCATTAAAAAGCACTGAATTTGAATTTTACACTGCAAATAATAGTATCTTGTCAAGTGAAATTATCTTAATTCTAGTCGATATATCTAATATTTTTTATTTTGACATGACGAAACAAAACGTTTGGAAATAAGTTAAATAATCTTAAAATAAGCTTACAACCATCTCAAAAGGAGACATATTGGATATATTGACTTAAGAATTTTACTTGACAAGATACAAGTAAAATTACTTGTAAATTGTGTATAATTGTGTATAATAAATTGTGCAGCAACTCTGTTTTAATTTCCCCAGGGATTAAAAATTTTGGTCATTTCTTCTTCTTTTTTTTTGCATACAGTATTTAGGAACGTGGTATGAAATTGCAAAGCTCCCAGCAGCCTTTGAGAGAGGCAAATGCATCGAAGCTCAATACTCTCTAAGATCTGACGGGACCATCAAAGTGCTTAATAGTCAGACAGTGTGAGTAATTTTGTGCTAAGATAAGTGTAAAAGGAAAGGCTGTACAAATGTCACTTTAAAATTGATGTTGATTTTTTTAAATGTATTAATACAATCGTACTCCATAGTAAAGGAAAAGTGAAGAGCATTGAGGGCACAGCTGTTGTGCAGAACTTGTTGGTGCCAGCAAAGCTTGGAGTTAGTTTTTCCTACTGTGAGTATACGAGCACATTAAATCTCATTTTAGGTTTGTGGTTCTGATGTGATCAGGTGGAATGATCAGTTTTGCATTAACATTATTATCGCAATGACTAAACTCAATTTTAAAGAATCATAGCTGTACCTCTACAAAAAATCAGTTGATTGGCATGATGATGATGCATATTTTAAATTCTCTACTTGTCTCTCTCATTGTGAGAAACAGATTTGATAGTCACACCCATTTTCAACACATATTCTTATCTGTTTTCACTTTCTATCCACATAATGTTGTTTTTTTATCTTTACTTAAATGAAGCCTTTCAGCTTCCTGGTTTCTTTTTCTAATGAAATGTTTTAGAAAGCTATGCATGGTTTGTTATTGTTCCGTTGAACTGTTTCGTGCGCTGTCCATCCACTTTTTAACTGGCTTGTTTTCTATTTCTTTTGCACCATTGTAGATTTTAATTCTGTAGAAATGCTCTTGAACCTCAGTCTTTATGGCTGCATATACCCCTTTTTTGCTAATTACACAGATTAAAAATTCACCATAATTCAGTGGTTGAGATGTAAAGCAAATCATTCAGAGTGGTTTGATGTGAAATGCTTCATTTGTACAGAAACTTACAGACAGATTTCTTTACAGTGATGGTGATAGTAACCAGGGGTCCTGATGTCTACAACACAAATATAACCATTTTATTTACCACCAGCAAACCTACACATGTCTGAGTGTTAATTGTAATGTCAGTGATGGTAAAATCATGGTAAATCTGAAAAACAATTGCCTTACAACACCCTGCATGTATGCCTCTGCCACACTGTACAAAACAATTTAATGCTTTAACTTGAAAAAGTAAGTAACCAGTTGCTTTAAAATTTTTAGTTAATATAACTTCACGTAATAAGTTAACAGAATGTAAACATTCTAATTTTTAGATTATTGCTCTGTTAACCTATTATACGTAATAAGTTCAGTAAACTCAAAAATGTAAGGCGACCAGGTTACTTACTTTTTAAATTAAAACATCAAATAATTTTTTTCAGTGCATGAATGGATTTAAAAAATTTGCGTCAGGTCAAAAGCTCACCATGAAACAGTGTCTCAGACATCAGGCAGCGTATTCATGACCATTAAATATATATCTTTCTGTGAGGGAGCTTTTAGAGGTGGACATCTGGTTCCCATCACCACCACTGTGAACAGTTCTAACAAGTTTGGTAGGTTTTTCTAGAATGGAGCATTTCACACCAAACCACTCTGAAAGACTTTGGTTGCATCTTAACTATTTATTTATGAAGAAATTTTGAAGTGGGATTCCGCTTTAAGGCACAAGTAGAGCAGAGATACACTTAAAGTAAGTTGTAGAGGCTGACAACACACTGCAGAAATGATATCTTGATATCTAAATTTTATTATTATATATAAGTTAGAAGATCAGAAATTTGAAATCACTATTCAATGTTTGCTAAAGTTTTCAACAATATAGACCCAATTTAGTTTCAGATACATGCTCAGTATGCTGGTCCTGTCCCATTTCTTATGTTTCAAACAAGCAGCAGGGAGCTATAAAAAACATTAGAGCATCAAGAACATCAAGAATGAAGTTGTAATAAATGAAAGTGTTGTAATAATCATGAAAGTGATAAAATCTTAAGTTAGATAACTTGATAAAAGATTGTTGTAAATATTGAATACAATATCTATAAATTCCTCTAGTTCAAAAGATTAAAAGTTTATATATATACCACACACACATATATATATATATATATACTCTGTAAATTATTCTTGTATATAAAATAACACAAATAAATAAAATAAGTGATTCAAACTTTTGAACGGTAGTGTATAATGAGCGCTATTTCTCATTATGAAATTATTGTATGAATATTAGAAGATTATTCAAGCTATTTTATAGGCAATTTTACTTATGAAGTGATCTTATCAGTTAAAATGATTTTATTGTGCTGATAATTTCACTTTCTTCAAGCATTATTTCTTGAAATAATTTTGCTTCTCACAGCCCTCATCAGCGCTTGGGGCTCCGGCGCCGGCCTCATGCCGCCTCTTGCCGGCACCTGCCACTGTACTTGTAGCACGTAGCACGATACTGTAGTAGCTTAGCATGCAGAAGCAGGGAGGTAAAGGGGCAGTTCCAGTTTGCATAATTGTGCATATTTATAGATCTCGCATTGTGTTAAGGTTTAGGGATGCTCCTATGCCAGTTTTAGTAATTTCTTGAGCATAAAAATAATACATAGAAAATATGTAACAAGTTTCAAATTTTTATGACTTTAAGGGTACTTTACAGGAGAAGAGCAGATTGTAAGACAGAAGTAGCCACATTATTGAGTCGGCATTAAAGAGTTAATATTTATGAACTACTGAATTTGCTCTGATAAAAAAGTTGCTGCTGTAAAACAAGGGATAGCTTCCAGCTGCTTTAGGTCTCTCGTCCCGTGAATATTTATTACAACGTGTGTGGTTTGTTTCATAATGTCTTGAATCCATTACAGTCTATTGACAAATGAGGCACACGCATTTATTATGGCTCTTGATTAAAAAGTATTATGATTTCCAAAACCCCTGATTTAAACAAATACACTTTGGTATGAGCCTACATTGAAGTGTGTGGACAGGTACCTGACAACAGTATTTAACTTCTATATATGTTTATTTCCTTAAAAAATTCTGCTCATTCTTTATGAAGTACCCTTTTCCATGTATTATGGAGTAAACATCTCCCTTCTCTCTTTTGTCTTTGGTACAGTCACCCCCTACAGCCCATATTGGATCTTGTACACTGATTACAAAAACGTGGCGGTGGTTTACTCCTGCACTGAGTTCCTGAGGATGTTCCACATCGACTACGCCTGGATCCTGTCTCGCACCCGCGTTCTGCCTACTTCATTCATCGCCATAGCCCAGGAGCTCTTAACTGGGTTCAGCATCGACATCAGCAGAATTACTTTCACTGATCAGCTCGGATGTGTTTAAATGATTCAAGTAACAGTTAGAATTTACACACTTACCCCAAATATATTCAATCAACCGAAACGAATTTGATCCGTGAAGTTTGTTTTTTAGTTTTGCACTGGCGCTATGAGGCTAATGTAACTAACATTTAATGGAAGCTTAAACCGAGCCACTTGCCATCGTGCTAACTGACTACTCCACCACACACTTGCCTCTCAAAGTACATCAGGATGTTAAAGCTGCACTATGTAAGATTTGGGGATTTGATGACCTCTTTGGTGGAAATGTGTAATTGCACTCAACATGCGGAAAATACATTTTTGGCGAATTTCCGCAGCATAGTATGGCTCAACTCTACTCGACTCAACTCGACTCGCTTTTGGTACCATCTGCTTCGCTTTCCACTGCAGACTAAATGTAGCTGGTCGTCATAGTGACACCACACGAAACTGCCGTGATGTGAAGGAGACAAATTTTGTTCAGAAGAGGCTGATGGCAGCAGTCTGCAGTTTTTCCACATCACCTTTCGGTATCAGCTCAGCTCACTCGGAACCTTGATTTTGCATTTGAGATCTAAACATCGAGCCGGACCTTCTTTCTAAGTCTGTGTGTTGAGCTTTTGAGTGTGCCTGTCCAAGAAATTCAGCCCGACGCCTCTGACTTTTAACCTCTTGAAAGGCCAGGGCCAGAGTTTTATTACACACTTCTGTAACCTAAGAATAGCTCCACCAGTTTGCACTGAAGTCCCTGTAGTTATTGAATAATAAGACTTGTAAGGGGTTAAATGATTTTTTCAGGGTTTACAGGCTGACTTGCAGCAGCGCACGGCTATTTTATTTTAGCGTGTCTTTTACCCCTCCTGACTCAGTAATGCTACTTATTTTCATTGGAAAAAAACAGTCTTACATAGTGCAGCTCTAAGTCATCTCAAATGGACTTAATTGTGTTCAGTGACACTATGAAAATGGACAAACATATGGACAAAGTTCAGACTTCAAGATGGCTGTTACTATGTTTTATGTTTTGAAAGAGCAAAACTAACAAAGCAAACTTTACATACCAAACACGTCATGGCTGATCAACTATATTTGGGTAAAGGGGAATCTGTTTAAATCTGAACAGATACTGCTTGCAGTATCAAGTATCACTGATGATTATGTTTATAGTGCAAATCTTACTTATGATCAATCATTGCTGAATGTCACATTACTGAATACTTTTACAGTTTTAAGCTCTTTAAAATCATGTATTACCACATTAACTGACTTCAGTTACATCACTTATATATTCTACAGTAAATGATTGTGTTGAATAAAAGCTTGATTATCAAGGTGGCTCTGAATGGTTGCTCTCTCATCTTTTATGCTTTTATAGATGGTTGACTACCGCCCTCTACCTGCCAGATGCTGTATAGGCTGTTTAAAGTAGATCAGTCAGATCTGTGTACTTTGACCATCTATTTTTCCATCTGCATAAATCTGAGAAATGCTTGTATATTAAAATTAAGCCATCATTTTTAATGGCTTGTGCACATGTTACCGCATATTTTATGGTTTATTTCCCAATATATTAAATTCAGCAAATAAATAGACATTGTGCACTAAAATTTCGTTGTGGTCTCTGTGGGGTGTGTGTACTTACTTTCACTTCAATAAAACATGTTTGTGTTTAACTGGGGGATTTCAAACTTTTGTAGACTATGTGCACTTTATAGCTCTACAGTTACAGACTGTAGTCCATCTGTTTCTCTGCATACTTTGTTAGCCCCCTTTTACCCTGTTCTTCAGTGGTCAGGACCCCCATGGACCCTCACAGAGCAGGTACTATTTGGGTGGTGGATCATTCTTTAGTGTGTGTTGTGCTGGTACGAGTGGATCAGGCACAGCAGTGCTGCTGGAGTGTCCACTTACTGTCCACTCTATTAGACACTCCTACCTCGTCAGTCCACCTTGTAGATGTAAAGTCAGAGACGATAGCTCATCTGCTGCTGCACAGTTTGTGTTGGTCATCCTCTAGTCCTTCATCAGTGGTCACAGGACGCTGTTGGCTGGATATTTTTGGTTGGTGGACTATTCTCAGTCCAGCAGAGACACTGAGGTGTTTAAAAACTCCAGCAGCACTGCTGTGTCTGATCCACTCGTATCATCACAACACACACTAACACACCACCATTTGCCAGTGTCACTGCAGTGCTGAGAATGACTGACCACCCACATGAAACCTGCTGTGTGGGGGTCCTGGGGGGTCCTGACCACTGAAGAACAGGGTAAAAGGGGGCTAACGAAGTATGCAGAGAAACAGTTGGACTACAGTCTGTAACTGTAGAACTACAAAGTGCAGCTATATGGTAAGCAGAGCTAATAAAATAGACAGTGAATGCATTTAGGTGCATAATTACAGCCATGTGCAAAAGTTTAAACACCCCCAATCAAGTTATGTTTGTTGGTATTCTAAATGAAAAAAGTTAACACATCCTCTAGAGAGAACACACTTAAATATGGCACTTTGTCTGCATATTTTAATGCACAATTTTTATTTATCTGCTGAGTTCAGTGTATTGGGAAAAAAGTTTTTAAAAAAATGTGCAGAGGTGTGTTCTCTGTAGAGGATGTGTGAAAAAATGTAAATTCTCCAGGGGCACACTTTTTGCATAGGACTGTATGTATCCGATTGCTCTTAATATTCCTGATATTAATAACAGTTTTAATCTGTTTTAATTTGATTGCGGAATAAACACTGTCCATTTGACATAAAAATGATCTTATCTTGTAATCTAGTTGTGTTACTGTCAATTAAACAAAGCAAAATAAAAAAAAAATACAAAATACAAATGCATGAGATGCTTATGAGGGTGTAATTGAAGATGGAAGTTTGGGGAGGGGACATGTGTTCCCTTAAATTTGGCTCCAGTTTGTCGTGTGCAGAACACTAAACCTTTTCAGCTTTTTCGAGTGGATCAGTGTAGCTGGTGAACCCTGTACAGCAGGTAATGCACACGTTACAATTTCAGCTAACATATGTACATGTTATAATATTCTATTGCTTAAAATATGTTGTTGACAGAAAGTAAATTAGTGGTCAATAAATTCTGAGTTCTTGCCTGTTCACTCTTGTTTATTCATCTGTTTTTGTTTACAGGAAGATGAAGTGGTGTGTCCTGTTTTGTGTTGTCTTCACAACTCTTGTCTCCAATCATCTCAGTGGTGAGTAGTGCTTTAAATATGATCACAATATCCAAATGTATCCTAACCAGGTCTACATTTTGGTTCCCTTTACTGTACTTATATGAAGCGAACTGCTAAAATGCCATGTTGCAAATTACTGTCAGTCTCTTTTTGACTACGTGGAGTCAGTATTATGTTGTGTTCATCACTGTGAGAGACTGAAAAGCATCAAAAATAATACTTGGAAAGGAAATGCTTGAATTTCTTGAGTCCCAAAGGGGCGCCCGGGCGGCCGTAGCTGAATCAGCTCTTTGTGAGAGTATTGCTCTGGATCTCACACACCTCCGTCTCTCTCCTCTCAGGTGCCAGATTCATTCCTGAAGGAGGTAAGATACTGTTTTCTTATTTCACTGATGGAAACTTGACCAGTTCATGCGCATAACACAACATAAGCTGCAGTTACTACTTGCTATATAGACTACAGCTCTTTAACAAGCATTATAGATTATTAGATCAGGCTTGTTGACAATGATGTTGTACTGTTTTTTTAATGAATGTTTATGATTTTATTTTCCAATATTTACCAATATGCAGCTTCTCCTGCAGAAACACCGTTGTTCCAAAAACATTATTGGTGAAATAGTCTATGTGTAACACAGATTTTTGTATATCAGGTATTTTATAGAGACTAAATACTGTATATACTTCACATAGAATAAATACACACACACACCTAATACCACATACATATTATAAAAATGTTATATAATAAAAATAAAGGTGCTAGAAAGGGTTCTTTGTGTGATGCCATAGAAGAACTACATTTGGTTCTTCTGGTATTTTTAGGGATCCCCATTAGCTGCTATCACAATATATACTGGGGTCCATAGACATGTATAGACATACTATACATACAAAACATGAACACAAAAAAAGCGAAAAACAAAAAGAAACTAAGGGAAAACAAAACACATGAAAAATGGAAAATAACATAGTAGGACGATTTAAACCAACAATAGAATAATAACAGAAAAAATAATAATAGAAAAATGGTTGAAAATGGAAAAATCTCACTGAAAGAACAGACCATTTGGTAATTCTCACAATGACCTTAGCTGACACTATTCTGGTAAGTAAAAATAAAGACACAAGGTTTTGTTTAAGGGTCTCTAATGATAATTGTCCAACCATTATTATTATGATTCATTAATTTGCAGTTCCCTATGATGAGCCCCCTGCTGTTCCCTACTGGCCATACTCAACCTCAGATTTCTGGAACTACATAGAATACTTTCGAACCATTGGAGCCTACAGCCACATCAACCAGATGGCCAGGGCTTTCTTCGCCCACCAGCATCTCGGTGACACCTTGGGCTATGAAGTGCCTGAGCATAAGCGCTAAGGGAGTGGGATTGCTTTCTGTATGAGAATTTAGTAGGAATTAGTAGCCTAAAGATAAAAATAATCTGTCTATGTATCCAGATAGTTCAGACAATATTGGCTTTGTTATGTATTTTTAAAAATGCCAATCAAAACTCAAGCACAGAAGCTTCATTTTGTAATGTTGTGGTTTGTGAAACAATTTACATGTTTAACTTCATATAAACGTCATATATCCTACCCCTACCCCGCTTCATTGTGTACATTAAGCACTCAGTGATGAATGATGGAGTTGTGTGCAAAAAAAGGATAGAAAGCAAAAAAAAGCTTGTTCAGTGGAAAAAACAGGTGGGAAGATTTACTATACTTGTTAATGAGTACTGTTACTTTCAAATCATAACTCAAATAGAAATAAACTTATCTTTCAAAAAAAAAAACTACATTGTTAAAAATCTGAGTCTGTTTCACCACAATGCAAGAATTTAGCATGAAACCACTCTGAATTACGTTTTATGTTTACATCTCACTGACTGAATTATGCAGAAATTCTCTTTTAAGCTTGTAATGCAATGTACTGCACAATGCTGAGCTCATTAAACAGTACACGAGGCGTTACAACTACAGATTCATAAAAGATGGGGAGATTTAATGCAAGAACTCGTGTTGTGGACCTGATCCCCAACAGCGCCGGTGAGTCCCGCTTTCAGGTCGGAAGCGTTTAAATGCGACAACTCAGGAACCCTGTTAGCTCGCCAGCTAACGCTACAGGGTCTTGTAGCGCTTTTAAGGCTCCACACAGTGAAGCTCTTTAATTCATCAGCAGGTTTTATCTGCTCACTCTGAAGTCATGAAGCCAGCAGTTGATGAGATGTTTCCCGAAGGAGCCGGGCCGTATGTGGATCTGGATGAGGTTGGTGTTGCTGAGCTGTAGTAGCTCATGTTGTTTATAGAGCAGCTCATGCTAACGCTGGCTAACTGTGACTTCGTATAACGTTATAATTAACGCTGTGACTATATAAATATGACATATTAGTGTATATATATATATGACTTATTTTGGACGAAGCTGAAGTTTGTTTCTCATTCGCCAGCTTCTTGTTCGAATTTTCCCGTTCCACCTTAACTGGCGCAGCAGTCACTTTCTGGCGGCTGAGGCGTAATAATAGTAGCTTAACTGCCGCACCATTTAAGGTGGAACGAGAAAATTCGAACAAGAAGCTGGCGAATATGAAGCCAACTGCTTAGCTACATTTGCTTAACTAAAAAGAAGACTATAGCGAACAATTCTAGTAGGTTGTTTTACTTTGTCTCAAAGGAATAACATGTATATAACCTAACTATGTAGTTACAGTACATAACATTACTGAGCTCGATGCGTCATGTCATCTTTTAAGGAGACGCACATATTACCATTTCTGCTTATTTCTAGCCGTGTTTACATGTGGAAATTATATTTTAATGCTACTGTTTAAATATATACAAATCATATTTACATGCTGGTTGCTTACTCTGACGACTAAACTCCAGAAACAGGTTTTTTCCCCATTTTTTCTTCAGTGTGATCTGCAGTGAACCATATTTATCAGTTGTCTTAGAATAAGAACAGATAAATCGGCTCTCAGTTCGTGAAATTTCGTTCACTGTTATGTGATTTGAAAGTCATGAAGTGATCTTAGGTCAGAATTCTAATTATGTGCATTATTTGAAAAATATGGGCAAGAAAAACTCCAGAAGACTATTTATAGGTTCTTGCTTATGTAATGTCCACCAAAGTGATTACTGATATTTTTACCCTCAAACTGAGACTGTGTATTAATAGAGAGGATGTGATATGAAAAGAACTTTTTTCTGTAAATTAAGCTGTCCAGCTACAAACAAAAATAAACCAGTGGTGAAATGTTTGGACCAGTTATTTGTTTTGATTGTGTGGTTTACTTCCTCCAAACGCAAGTGACAATTACTGAAATAGCAAACGTGACAATAGGACCACTGTATATTCTCACTTGTGTCTGCATTTGTGTGCATTCACAGGCAGGGGGAAGCACTGGACTGTTGATGGACTTGGCTGCGAATGAGAAAGCAGTGCACTCCGACTTCTTCAACGGTAAGATGTGCATCTAGCAATATTTCATGTCATTTTTCAAGTGAAGCTTCTATTTGAAGAATTGGATTCCAAAATGCTGTATATTTCTTTGGAACGAGAAAAGATTTAAAAAAGAATAACAGCTGACATGTAATGCACTTATAATGAGACACATTTTATTTCTCTAATAAAAGTGATACAAATCATAATAAAGCACTAACATTTCTTGCATATGTAAAGCCCACTCTTAACAATGAACGTCCTAAAAAAAAAAAAAGAAGTCATTTTTTTTTCTTGTTTGTTTTAACAAGAGAGTAGAGTAATGTATGTAATAACATACCCACTTACCCAAGATGTAGATCAGCCAAGACATGTTCAGTATCCAAATCTGGCTTCTGTAGTTCAGTACTGGAGTGCTATGAGACTAAGACTAGATGTCAGTAGGCACCCAAATCTTTTTCGTAAATACATCCCCAAAACTTCTCTGAACCTTCTTAAACCGCATCACATTCTTAAGGTTGCACAGATGAGTTTAGGGCTCAGTATGACTCAGTATGAACTATAAAAATGAATAACAAAACTTCACTGCGTAACTAAACACAGCGGGCAGCAATTTTAGGCAACAGGTGTTGTGCTGAATTCTGATCCTCTTTGCAAAGTTCCAACCATTCCGACCATTTCTTTTAAAGAACGTTCACCAAAAAATCAAATTGACACGGTTTCCTCTTACCCCATACTTCAAGCTGTCCAATCATATCCACAGTGTAGCTGCTAGTTTTCATTCCAGCAAAGCAGGAACAAACCTGACCGCTTTTTGCAGACTGAGACTAATTGATTAAACATCCGGAATCAGGTGAGCTTCTGCTTGATTGGATGAGAACCTGCAGCCACTCCGGCCTCTTGCAGATAAGATTTGACACCGCTGCCATATGCAGCTGACACGTTTTATGCCCAGAGTTTGCTTCCTTAGTTTTGCACTGCAGCTATGAGGCTAATTTTGCTAGAACGTAATGGAAGTCTATGTCACTGAAAATCTTTTTGGCCGACACCAGCGTCTCTAATATTAACCTCATAGCTCCTATAGTAGCACACTTCATACACCAAACATGGCTTGGCAGATCGACTAAGTTTGTTGTACGGGAAAAAAATTGGGTCAGGTTGATTTTATTTATTTGTTTGTTTGTTTATCTAATTGAGCCATATCTTTACAAGAAAAGGTGCCAAACTATTTAAAGCCTCATGAATGTCACGTTTCCACAGTAGATTTGTAGTAGTGGTGGCTACACTATTCCCAATTGGTTAGTCACAAACATGTTTTTGCAAATATCTATCTACTGCTTGAATTTGATTTCCTGTTTTGTTTTCATCACTGACTGATTTATTTTTTTTTTTTTTTAGTTTTGTTTGGGGCTTAGGGTGCAGTTGAACAATTTATTTGTCATCAAGCTCTAAAAAACATCCTAGTTTGGATGAGCTGTTTACATGATCTTTGTCACAGAGGTTAAAATTAGAGCGCATTCCATTTAGTAGAAGGCCTTGTTGATCAAAAACAAGCGATCATGGTTATAACAGTACCACTCGGTGCTGACAAATGAGTGATTTTATTTCTTCATTTATTTACTTTCCCCTTTATTTCCTGCTATAACCTGTTCCACTTTGATTAGAGTGAGGAAAGCAGTAGTTTTATGCAGGGCAGTGGGTCCACAAGGCTGAGATTGACAAGTTTAAAGCATGCTTAGATGTAAAAACAGGATTCTAACATCATTCACTGGACCCATATTATGTACTGTTGATTATACACTGCAAGCATTGCTCCCTCAAGTGCATTGTATTAAGTTTGTTTCCTTGGCAACACTGTTGTTAAGTACTATAGCAGACATGGTCTGCAGTCTCTTTTTTATTTGTTTTTCCTTGCCCATCAGGCCTGCATGATTGTAGGAAAGGCACTTTTGGCTCAGCTCAGGATGACCTAGAAAAAGGGCTGTTAAAGAGTAAAGGAGCGGTAGATCGCCGGAGTTTAAAGACGTTTTATGGGGGCTTGTTGGCTCCAACGCAGCATGGTTCCTCACTTTAAAGCCTGTGTTTCCATCTGCGGTGGCTAAAGGTAGCTGAACACGTGTCACACTCAGCCATCTTTATCTGCAGGCAATGTAACCGGAGGAAACGAAAAGCTGCAACTAAGCAAAAAAAAGTGCAAATGTTCTCTAACCAGCAGAACAGTGGAATACAATAGTGCAAGGGTGCAGCTAAATCAATCTGAATGTTTTATACTCAGATTATTAACTGGACATTGACATTGCTGTAGCATTCTGTTGTATTTTCTCATATATGGGTGGGAATTTGTGCTTTTTTTAATGTGGTCTAATTAATTTCTCTTTTCTCGTTGCAGATTTTGAAGATCTCTTTGATGACGACGACATTCAGTGATGACCGACGGGATGAAGGATGAAGTCTTTGATCGTGTAAAATAGTTCTCGATTGTAAATGGGATGTTTCGCTGTTACTGTCTGGTTTATTGTTTCCGCTCAGGTTTTTGCTTGTCAATAAAACGTTTGTGAAGAAAAAAAAAAAGCCCTTCGGATGGCCAGATGTCTCTGAATGTTAAAGATCCCAGACATTCCAGGACACAAGGTGGAATTATCCCGATCCCTTTTTTGTCATGTTGAAATCTGTTTCCAGCCTAGATTGCAGGTTTTTGCAAATTCCTGAACACCTGTAAGTGTGTATAATTACATGTTCGATCCAGTGTTAACATAAAGACACAGATGTTCCTTGGCTCATGTCTTGACATTTACTGAAAAATATTTTTCCTTCAAGATATACAACATTTCAAACCCATGGACAGTGTGCATATTATCCTTCTGCAAGAAGTGAATACATAGCCATAAAAGGCACAGGAATGAACCTCTCTATCACTGCTGTCAGTATTCATCCACATTCAGTGTTGGTTCGAGAAGTTATTTGGTTTGAGGACAGCATTTGGTGGATGGTACATTCAGTATACTCTTAACAAAAAGGGTTCTATAACCTAGAACTAATAGTACCAATAGTGGAACCTTTTTTGATTCTATACTGAACCATAAGTAACAGGTTTCCATCATGGAGAAAAAAACATTTGAGTTGTCATGGTTCTGTAACAACTGCACTTACTAAACTCTTGAAGAACCACTTAATTTTCAAAAAGAAGGCTTGCCTTTCATAGTCAGGGCACTGAGTGCAAGAACTAACAGTTACAGAAACACAAACAGCATTTGCAGTGCATACTATGAGATAAATCTTTGGTATACAGAATTATAGAATCAGTCAGGATCCCTAAATATCCTCTAGTCCCTGTACCACTGCCTGTACTCTATTAGCTTGTAACGGCTTGTAAGCTACAAATGTTGCATCTGCATTGCTGCATTGCAGTAAATGACAACTATGGCTTTATTAAACTATGTTTTATTAGAATTGTATTTAAAAGAAAAGAATAAAATAAGGACGTTTGAAATGCATGTTCAGTCATTCGCTGAGGATTAGGCAGCTTACTGGTGGGCATAATTAAACATAGTAGTGGGAAACCTTTGGCCTACAGGCTCCACCTCTGCAGCCCTGGAATGGGAGCATCTAGTAAAACAGGCATCAATAACAACCTTAAAAATAAAGGTTTTTCTAAATGGTTCATTGCTTGGTCCTGCGATGGACTGGCGACCTGTCCAGGGTGTTTCCTGCCTTCCACCCAATGACAGCAGTGATAAGCTCCAGCTCCCCTCACGACCCAGAAGGATAAGCAGTTTAGAAAATGTGTGTGTTTGTGTGTGTGTGTGTGTTTGTGTGTGTTCTTGGCTTGGACATGTGGTTCAAAGAAAAAAACAACTTTAAATAGTTTAGAACTTTAATAATGTATGGAAGGTTTTTTAAAGGCTTTTCACACTACATACAGCACTATGTAAACGTCAGAGACCACCCTTCATTTATTTCATGTCCAGTCAAAACAGCCATTCAGTTTTTCATTTTTCAGTGTCAGGACAAAAAGCAGAAAACATTTAACAGAAAATTACACAGAAGTCTCAACAACCTAATGTAATACCAATTATTTCAGTATTTACTGTATCCTTTATTACAGCTTCCATCCAAACAAATCTGCAGGGATATTTTTCCACATCTCCAAAATTCAGTCTGAGAAGTTGGCTGTATTTTCTGCTTCTCATAATCCAAGTAATTCACACACATTCAGTGATGTTGAGGTCTGGACTCTGGGGTGGTCAGTCCATTGTTCAGCTTCTTTGTTTGATGCGTCCGTCTCCTTTTCTCAGTGAGGTTCTTCTTGACAGCTACACATCCTTTCAGACCCACAGCGCTGAGTCGTCTTCTCACAGTGGAAGGATGGACAGAAACACCTGTGGATGTTTTCAGATCTGAAGCAGCTTGATTTTCTCCTCTCTCTCAGAGATGAAAGCTTTAAGTGCTGTTTATCTGATGGAGACAGTTTTGGTGTCTACCAGGTCTTCCAGGTGGTTGTTAGGAGCCCCATTTTCTCTTTAAATCTTAATCATTTTTTGAACTCCAGTTTCAGAAACTCCTGTTTTTTTTCACTTATTTTCCTTTGACTTTCTCCTTCATCATGCAAGTGGATTATCACACATCTGATCTCCTCAGAAACATCTCCTAAACAGCGAATAACAACAGCCATTTTGAGTGGATATTAAATGAATTAGGGGAATCACTTTTTACAAAAAGAGACAATCATTAAAAAGTTCTTTAAGGAACCAGAAGTGGTTCTTCTATGGCATCACCTTTATCTCAATTTGCAAATTGGTGAGAATACATACATCTGATGTAAACATCTGGTTGTGGATTTAACTTCAGAATTACTCATAGGCTTAAACTTGCCTCAGCTTCTTTCTCTCTTAAAGGCGACTCCAGGTTGCTTGTACTCTCCTCCTCTCTGCTTTCTTGCTACGTCTCTGTAATTATGAGACCCCATTGGTTTGCTGGTTGGACCAGAGGAAGCCAATCACAGTGCTTTTTGCAGGGAGCCCATGACCCCATGGGACGCTCTGTTTTGTTTTTAATTATCAAGGTGGCGTTTAAAACGTGGCTGCTCTCTCACCGGTGGCACTTGCTGTAGGCAGAGGCAGAGGTGCAGCAGGAGTTGGTCTTACATCCTCCGTCTCCAAACTGACACTTTAGGCCAAGCCAGCTGCTCCAGCTGCTGCCTCTGTCCAGAGGCCCACACCTTCACAACCTGTAGCAGGTAAGATCGAGCTTAAACATCTGCATCTTTTACAGGAATTAGCTACTCTTAAAATATTTTAAATAATTTCTTTGGAACTTGCAGTGTTAGATACTTTTATTCATTTAAGTTTACCTTAAAGAAACAATCCAGCCTTTTTCAGTCTAATCTCAGTCTGCTGTATCTGTATTTTACTGTGAGTTAGCATGCACTGTTAGAAATAAAGGTTCTGTGCAGGTACATTTTTCATTCATGAAGGTACAAACAATGTAAAATGTTACCTCAAAGGTACAACAGTGGTTTTAAGGTCTGATTGTGAACCTTAAATAAGTTGTTCCAGGTGAAAAGTTCATGTTTGTACCTTTTCATTACCTAATGTTCTAAAACAGAACAATAATATAAAAAGCCTGGAGACAAGACGGGGTGTGTGGAGTCAATACAACTTAGAAAATTTCATTTTAATGTATAATGGAACAATTATGTTCCCTGACTAAAGGTACTGAGATGTACATTTGAGGGTTCCACCCCAGTGACACTTTGATACCTTGTTTCTGAGAGTGTGGAGAATTTCACCTCGTGCTTAAAAGAGAAAAAAAGAACAGAAAACTTCTTGACTCAAAATATACTTGTAATAGAAGTCTTTGGGCAGTTGCTTCAGCATCTGCCCATTGACATCCCATTGCTTCAGCATCTGTCCATTGACTTCTATTATGAGTGTGTTTTAAGTCACTAGGCTTTCCTTTCTTTTACTAAATACAGAGAAAGGCGTCAAAACTAATGTCCATGGTAATTGACCGTATGGAGATGAGACTGAAAACCCCTGAAATGTTCCTTTAAATTATTCCACTCCATACAAAACAACAGGCAGGGCACTGATGTTCATCCACTGATATTGGAATGTGACTGTTTTCTGTTCTCAAACCAAGTAGTTAAAAGTTCAGTAACCACTGAAGAGGTTTGTTAAAGTATGAATCTATATTTTCTTTTCTTTTCTGCAGGAAACGGCTGTTGAAAATGGCTCACTTGGGAAGATCCTCCTTCTCCCACATATTCACGGGAGTGTTGCTGGCTACAGTGATATTTACAGGTCAGATTAGCAATTTGTCACTGCAATTATGAAATTCTGTATAACCTGTTGTGATATATTATATGCAATACTGTGTATCGTATACAGTGCAAACGGTTTTAGGCAACTGGGAATATTAAAATTTAAAAAGCGAATAAATTGAGCAGCAGATATTTAATTGCTCAGAAAAAATGTTAGAATGGATACAAATAATATTAATACAATAAATGGTGATTTTATGTCAACCATTCCATGTTAACCATTCCAGACCTCTCCTTATGTATTTGTTCTAATGTTATGTAGTGGTTTTAGTGGCAAAAACACAGCTACTGCTAAGATAAACAGTGTTTGCCCAGCACAGTATACGGATGATTCAACCAAACTGGTTCAGAGTTGAAAACATATTTTGGACTTTTAACTGACTTAAACTTTAGACTAAAATCGTTTTGCTTTGAGTGACCCTGTACCTTAATTATGTTTATTTTATTAAAACAAATCATTGAACATTCCACTAACAAAATCATAACACTACCAAAACTTTACCAGATGTTTCAGTAGTGACAATTTTAGCTTATTTTGAGGACAACTCAAATACGCCAGCCAGTACATGACCAGCAAACACAGCTTTGAACAGCTGTACACATTAAATCATCATATTCTTCATTAATACACAAAAAAAAAAGTAGAAAATATGTGTTTAAGTAGTGATGATTCTCAATGTTCCACACTGATTTTCAGACTTTGGGACACATTTAATTCAAAATAAAGGGATCTAACTGCTCACTATGTGGCCATGAGAGACAGGGATAGAGTCTCACTTCCTGCTCTTAAATGCAGGGGTGTGGCTAAAATACGGCTCCGCCTACAGACTAAAACTGTGTTTCAGTAGTGACATGAAAATGTAAGACATTTTTTTTATTTAAAAATCAAACTCATGATAAAATTTAAATCTTTTAACTTCAGTAAATCTTAAAAAAACTAAATTATTTTCACTATAAATACACACACACGCACGCACGCACACACACACACACACACACAAACACACTTTCTTCTACAGAAAACACACTTCTGCACATTTTAATGCACAATTACTGTTTTTTTGGAAAAAAAATATAATGAGGTTTGTGCAAAAGTTTTGGCACACTGTATATTTTAGGCTCTTTTTTCCAATGTGTTTTATAACATGCAGAAAAATGCCATAGTTAAGTGTGTTCTCTGTAGATGTGTTAACATATTTGACCTGGGGTGTTTAAACTGACTGCAGATTCGAGTGGAACACAGAAGTGTTCAGAACCCTGGGCATTTTCAGATTCTCTGATATTAAAGCACTACAGAACCTTTTTTAATCAAGCATCTATAAATAAAAACATGGTCAAACTTTTAAAATGACTTGAGAAAAAACAGGAAAATATTTCCAAATATGTGAACTGAAATGTGCTGATTTAGTTTTGTTGACATACAGGTCAACACAGGGTGACACTTTACTCTAAT